ATTGAGTTTAGTTTTGATTTATATCTCTTTGTTCACACACAACCTATTGAGCTTATTGTATTTGCATACATTATATAATTGGGTTGTGGGATAGTGTGACATTGAGTTGAGCCTAATTGAGTTCTCACCTTGTTAGAGAGAACAATCATTTACTGTATTTGTGCTTAATTGTGAGATCACTTTGTAATACATTTGTACACCGGGTGAGGAGTGTGTGGTGAGAGTCGGGGATCGTCCCAAGAGGAGTGGCGTCGGTTGACGTGCCTAGGGAGAGGTTGTAACCGAACACTTGAGGGAGACACGCCTAGGTCCAACACTTAGTGGGTGTAGAGTGGGATTACAATAGTGTGTTGATTGTAAAGTTTTCGGTTAGCTAGAAAACCGAGTGTGAGGTGTAAACGTTGTTCGGGTGAACGTAGAAAACCCGGTTGATAGTGGATTTCTCCCCGGGAGTGGGGAGCGGAGACGTAGGACGGAAGGTCCGAACTCCGTGATCATCTTTGTGTGTTTGTGATTGTCTTGGCGTCTCACTTGTGCTTATTGTTCATATCATTCTTGTCGCCATTATCTATTGTTCACATTGTCCACTATCTTGTTTATGTTTATATCACCCTTAGTTTATATATCTTTGCATTTATATATTTCATCATATAGGATATATCACTTTGTGTATATTGCATATTCTTGCCCATAATAGATTGTATACCTATCTTGCAAGAATATAGTCGACGACGACGACCCACCCTCCTCCTCCCGCCTCCCGCCTCCCGCTGTCAAGACGACGACACCCTCCCTCCTCCCTATGTCGACGCCGACGCCGCTCTCCCCCGTCGAAGGCCTATCACTTCTTCCTCTCTCGCGACCGACGCCAATGCAGGTATTTTTGGTACAGTCTCAATTTTGGTATTTTTGGAGTGATTTCTGGTCTCAATGTGACAAAATCTATTCAGATTTCAATTCCGTCTGGGTCTGTTCAGATTTCAATTCCATTGGTTGGCCTCTTTCTTGCGTTATTATGCTAATGCTTTACTGCTGTGAATTGGGGCGGACTTGAATTTTTATGCTAACTGCGTTATTATGCTAATGCTTTTCTGGGTTATTATGCTAATTGCGTTATTATGCTAATGCTTTCTTGCGTTATTATGCTAATTGCGTTATTATGCTAATGCTTTTCTGGGTCAAGTGTAAAATCTCATTTTATTGGGTTGTTGCAGTCTGTTTGCTTCTCTTTTTCAGGGACATTGTATCTGAGTTTCTCTAAAAATCAGCATTTACAGTGTAGAGTGCATAAAGATTGGATTTATAGTTTGGTTGTTTATTTTATTAAGAGGGAATGCAGCTCAGTATCATGTTAGTTATCCTATGGCTAGGCCTTGCAGCAGCTCAGTACCTCGAGCTAGCACTATTCACAAATGTGAGGAACGTTGGAAGATTTTGAAGGAGAATTTTAATATAGATGAGAGTGTAGATAGTTGGCTGACGAGGATGTACAGATTGCGTGCACACTGGGTAGATGCATATTTAAAAGACATATTTTGGGCAGGAATGACAACTAGTCAGAGAAGTGAAAGTATCAATGCATTTTTTAATGGTTATGTAAATACAAAGACTAGGCTTGTGGACTTTATATGCCAATATGATAAAGCCTTAGCAAATCGCTGTGCATCTGAATCTCGAGAAGACTTTATGACATTGAATATTGTGCCTGCAATGTGCCTTCGACATCCAATTGAAGTGCAAGTTAGCAAATTATATACTAGGGGGATCTTCAAAATATTCCAAGATGAGCTTACTAATGGGTTATCACTTTTTTATGAAGAAATACTAAAGGAAGAGCCAAAAATAATTTATCTAGTTGGTGATTTTTCTGAAGAAAAAGATAAATGGGAAGAAGTTACATATGACAAATCTAGCGGGTGTCAAATGCACTTGTGCACTTTTTGAAACCGATGGGATCCTTTGTAGACATATATTGCATATCATATGGCTTCTTCAGTTGACAGCTATTCCTGATAATTATATATTGCAAAGGTGAAAAATTGATGCAAGGCACAAAAACATTAGATTTTTTAATGATATGGATGTAAGAAGCAATGAAGGTAGCATGGAGCAGTGCGATATTATTAGATTATGGACAATTCGAGCCAGATTCAATGCTACCCTTGAGATGGCTTCATGTTCAGCAAATACCATTTCTATGGTGGAGAGAATGCTACAAGATTTCACTATATCAGTTGAGAAGGAAGTAAAGCTTAATGAAATTCATATTGCAAACTCTCAAATTGGAAGCCAAATTAGTTCAAATGCAAATGTAGTATTGAGAGATGGTGAAGAAATTTTAATTCGTGATCCTAGTGGCCCAGTCAAAACAAAGGGTCGTCCAAGAGGTGCTAGCAGGTACAAGTCAGGAATTGAAGAGTCACAATCGAAAAAGGATATAAAACATCGGAAATGTGGGAATTGTCAACAATTGGGTCACTATAAGACCGGTTGCCCGTTGTTGGTAAGTTACTTGAGAATTTATCTTGTAATATTTATTTGTCGTTCATTTGATTTATTTTTTTGTGCACAACTTATGAATGTTTTCCATGAATAGAAAAAGTAACAGCCTTTTACGAGCATTTTGGAGCATTTTAGGAGCATTTTGGCTGTAGTTTCCCCAGGTTGCTGCAGTTTTGTGTGTATGTTTTGTTCATTAACCTTCGTTATGTCCTTCAGTAAGCTATGGAAATGAATCAGTCTTCCCTCTTTTGGTTCATTGGGCACTGAAACTTTGGTTCCATTTGTTGTGCAGGCGGGCATTGTGAAGAAGGAGCACATCAAAATCCATGGTAGCTGAGAAGTCTATGTTCGAAGGACTGATTAGTGCTTGAAGACTGTGTTTTATCTACTTAGCTTTTTATATAGTTTCTTTCCTATTTCATGCTTGAACTTGTACTTTGTTATTTCTTACATTTGTGTTCGAAGGATAGATTATGTAGTGTTTGAAGGACTGATTATGTAGTGTTCGAAGGACTGGTTATATAGTTGTATTTGTTACTAGTATGAATATCTATGTAGTTGTATTTGTTACTGATTATGTAGTGTTCGAAGGACTGAGCAGTGCGACATTGATATAGTTGTTATTTATATATTGTTTGAAGGACTGATTATGTTGTAATTGTTACTGGTATTTGTTACTGATTATGTTGTTCGAAGGACTGATTTTTGTTCATTAACCTTTGTTGCTTTTTATATATTGGTCGAAGGACTGATTATTTCTTGCATTTCTTGCATCTGTTTGAATATCCAGGTGATTTTCCTCAGTGCATCCACAACTGCAGCTCTTCATTGGTTTGTGAGTCCAATATATTCACAAGAAAAAATAACTGGCTTTGGTAATGTCATGGTAGTTTACAAAATGACCCAAGTTATACAAGCTTATCCTCCCAATTATAAATGCTTCTCCTACTAAAAGCTCAATAACCACCAATAGCTCATTTGTGCTCAGTAGAATTAGTGGACACCATAAAACTCAATCATTGTTGAAACCCATATCAGCAAATCTTCAGTTCACAATTATTTATGAATGTGTGTGCAACTTTATTTATGTTTACACGAGTGTTTTGTTGTTATGTGTACTGAAAGAACCATGAAATGATCCAAGTTATACAAGCTTATCCTCCCAATTATAAATGCTTCTCCTACTAAAAGCTCAATAACCACCAATAGCTCATTTGTGCTCAGTAGAATTAGTGGACACCATAAAACTCAATCATTGTTGAAGCCCATATCAGCAAATCTTCAGTTCACAATTATTTATTAACGTGTGTGCAACTTTATTTATGTTTACACGAGTGTTTTGTTGTTATGTGTATTGAAAGAACCATGAAGAGTGAAAGAATTAAACATGCGAGTGATTGAAATGATCCAATAGCCCTGAGCCTCCTGGCATCAAATTCTTAAGAACTTGAGTAGTGAACATGGTATGTTCAAATCATGACCTATTATCCTCATTATGCCTAGGCATCATTTTAGAGTTTTCATTACTCTATGGTCTCAACTTCTGCTATTTCATTGATAATTTGATACTGGGGCATTGGAAAACTGTGATACTGGACATAAATTTCAGTAAAAACAGTATGCTAATGCTCTTATAATCAGTAAAAACTGTGATACTGGGGCATTGGAAAACTGTGAAACCTGACCAGTATGTATAGGTCAATAAAAACAGAAAAGTCATGATGCATTCATCAATATAATCATCAATATAATCAGTATGCTAATGCTCTTATAACAAGAATATAACCTTACTCCAGGAAAACATGCATTGAACTCTTGATAAATTTAGCTGCTGCTTTCTGGTAGCTGTTGATTACCCAGCTGCACAATCGTACTCAAATGCAAATCACAACTCAGAATGAAATACGAGTTTTCATTTATAATAGAGTGCCAGACAAGTTTAAAGACACGAGCCATATATGCTCCAATACAACCCCACAAGGTACAAATTCAAGCATGAAATAGGAAAGAAACTATATAAAAGCCTAAGTAGATAAAACGCAGTATTCAAGCACTAATCAGTCCTTCGATGAGGGGCTTCTCAGCTACCATGGATTTTGATGTGCTCCTTCTTCACAATGCCCGCCTGCACAACAAATGGAACCAAAGTTTCAGTGCCCAATGAACCAAAAGCAAGTAATCAGTCCATAGCTTACTATAGCTTACTGATAGTATGTTTTTTCAGGACCAACTCATCCAACTCAATTACAATACAAAAATGATGCTGAGAAAACATATGCACAGTACTGCTGGTAAGAAGAAAACTGATATCTTCGTCAAAAATGTGGAAATCTATTTTCTAGTTCATAATTGGAAGACGAGTACTGCTGGTAAGAATCTTACCTCGTCAAATTAACAATATATTATTGAATTTTCTCAAGGATGGTGAAGAAATATCAAGATCTAAAGAATTGGGCAAATTTATGGTAGCAGAATCCGTCAATTCCATTAAGAATTCAAATTGTTGACTAAATTGCCTGGATCCAAAATCGCAGCCTACCAATCGATTCAATATCTCGATCAGAATCTCATATTTCCATCAGATCGCTGGGTATACACAATATTCCCAATCTGATGAACATATACTCATCTATATGAACAGTATATTGGAGACAAAATCTAGGGTTTCTAATCACTTTTTCAGACATTACCTTATCTCGGCGTCGGCGTCGTCGACGACAGCGAGAGGCGGGGGACGGGAGGAGGAAGAGGCAGAATCACGGCGTCTTCGTCGACAG